TTGGATCAGAGCCAGAGCCAGCGCTATAGGGATGCCATTCCCTCATGTCAGACCAGAGAATCATCCACCAGTCGAAGAGCCTACCACTGTGTCCATTCATCAGCACAACCAGGTACTAGCCGAGCGGGATGAACTGAAGCGGGTGAATGCAGAATTAGAGAAGGAGTTAGCTCAGCTTAGAAGTGAGAGGAACGAAGTCGTGCATGCTCTCAAAAGGCAAACAGAGTCGGTGAGCCAGCTGAGTGCAGACTTGGCAAAGCAGATTGCTGACCGAGAACGCTTAGGTCAAGACTTCAGAGCTGCTAATGATGTGCTAGCTACGAAGAAGCAGCATCTGGAGGAAGCATACCGGAGAATATCTAAGTTCGACCAGCATTGGAAGACTTCCATGGCTACCAGGAAGGAGCGAGAAGACAAGCTGATGCTGCAGATTTCTAAGCTAGAGACTGAGGTAAAAGACAGTGAGCGGAGGTTTGATGAAGAGACCGCCCGCAGGTACTCCGCTGAAGCCCGTCTCAACAAAGCCATTGCTAGCCTGAAGGAGCATAAGCTGATGTTTGAGTCTAAGAAGCGGAAGCTGGAGGATTGCTTTGGCGAAGGCGCTTGGGAGAGTTCAGTTCAGGGGCTTCAGCATACCATCAGGCAGAGGGAACTACTCGTCGAGGGGTTGCTCACTTCGCCAGATCGTTCAGAGACAAAGGAGTTATTAGCAGAGTATCGCGCCCGTGGCCGTACTTGACTAGTTATATCCCTGTTGTTTTTTATCTTTGATGCTGACCATCACCAGACTTGTTGGCTGAGGTCATGCTGTTGATTTGTACTCGCTGATACTGTGTACTGCCTCGACAGGCCTTTCCATATATATATGAGAATGATGTTTCCATGATTGGGCTCGGATTTCTTCTTCCTCTTATTATCATCAGCACCGTCACTAAGGCACTAGGATCGGGGAAAAATCTCCCACGCACACAGGCACACGCATGCATCTGCATGAAGCATATTTGCATGGTGTATATCTTATTGCTTTTCCTAACCTTTATTACTTGCAGGTTTTTCAGGTTCCGAGTTGCTTTCGATTTCCAGGATTGATCAAAGACTCATCCACCGCTACTCAACTCGCGCTAATCAGACGAGAATCATGGACCAGGTACAGTCAGATGTTCAAGAACTCCGTGAGCGAATGGATCGTTTTATGGAGCTGATGCGGGTGGTCGCTAATGGTCAAGACCAGCTTCGTACCCTGGTTCAACCTCTGATCTCCAGGGTTGACAGTAATGGCATACTCCATGGAGGGGCCGTGCCTACTCCTCCTCCAGGGGATACCCCACAGAACGTTGTTCCTGCTGCCGGGGGCAACGACAGTGCTAACGGCAATTTGATGACTAACCTCGGACTCAACGCGCCCGGCGCCGTAAATGGTAGTTTGGGAGCCAATGTTAACATGGGGCCGGTCAACGGCAATGCTGGTGCAGGAAACCTGGTGGTGCCTCAACCGTGGCTGGAGGACCATCAGGATGACATATTCTCTCAGAGAGGCGTAGAGGCAGAGTTGAATGCTGAAGCTCGACTCAGGTTTAAGGCGCTGGAAGACAAGATGAGAAGCATAGAAAATCAGAACACATTGGGCGTTGACATGTCCAACCTAGGGTTGATTGCTGACTTTAAAGTACCTCACAAGTTCAAGGTGCCCACCTTTGAGAAGTATAAAGGCACTACTTGCCCCCGGGTCCACCTTCGATCTTATTATAGAAAGATGTCCGCTTATTCTGACGATGAGAAGTTGCTGATGCACTTCTTTCAGGATAGTCTTTCTGGCCCATCGCTCGAATGGTATATGGGTTTGGAGCCCGCTACTGTGCGCACCTGGAAAGATCTTGCAGAAGCATTTGTTCTCCACTATCAATATAATAGCGACTTGGCTCCCAACCGAGTCCAGCTTCAGAATCTCTCACAGCGGAACAATGAAAGCTTCAAAGAATACGCCCAGCGGTGGCGTGAATTGGCTGCTCGGGTTCAACCGCCGATGGTTGAGCGTGAGTTGGTACAAATGTTCGTGGCTACCCTTCCCGGAATCTACTATGAAAAGCTGGTCAGTGGCATGTCTGGAACATTCTCGGCTCTCATCACTTTGGGCGAGCATGTTGAGAACGGTATAAAAATCGGAAAAATTCAGGGCGAATCATCCTCAGCTGGAGGAGGTAGCAAGAAACCCTATACTGGCAAGCGTCGAGAGGGAGATGCCAGTGCTGTCACTAATGCTAGGAGAAAGGGCAAGGGCCCTCAGCCTCAGATTGCTAGCATAAACATTCCAGCTGCTCCACCGCAGCCGCAGCAGCAGCAACCTCAGCAGCAGAATAATCAGGGGTATAAAAGATATCAGAATCGGGCTCCCCTGGCAAGCCGTCAGTTTGATACTCCACCTATGTCATATGCACAGCTTTTGCAAACGTTGCTCCAGCTCCAATTAGTTCAAAAGAGGACGTTGGCTCCCTTAACAGGGGCGCCACCACCGGGGTATGATGCCAGTGCTACTTGTGAATTCCATACTGGGGCACCTGGCCATACGATTGAGAATTGTAAAGCTTTTAAGCACAAAGTCCAGGACTTGGTGGACGCCAGGGTTGTCAACTTTTCTGACAACGTGCCCAACGTCACCAAAAACCCGATGCCTCATTATAAGGGGGGCGGAGTGAATGCTGTTATCACTGAGGAGAGTTCAGACTTGCTGACTGATGTCAAAGATTTGAAGACGCCGTTGAGTTTTGTCAAGGCTAAGTTGCTGAAGAAGGGCTTCTTTCCTGGATGCGGAGAATTATGTATGGCTTGTGCTACACTTCCTGACGGGTGTGAGCAGCTGATCGAAGGTATCCAAAGTCTGATGTCCGAGGGTATTTTACAGTTCAGCCGGAGCGTTGAGAATGCATCAGGGGAAGTTGTGCTGAAGCAGGCAGACGAAGTTGCTACCATTACCATTCCTCGCCACCCTATTACTATTTCTGCGCCTCGTCCGCCTACCATCACCATCACCAGGGCCGGACCAATCCCATTCGAGAGTACCAATGTCGTTCCATGGCATTATGGCACCGAAGTTTATTGTAATGGTCAGAAGATAGAGCTTGAGCCGTGTGGATCGACTGTGCATGATCTTACGGAGGTCAGTGGTATCACTAGAAGCGGAAGAGTGTTCGCACCAGCAGAGGTTGCAGCAGAGAAGGGGGTCCGGGCTGATGCTGTGGATAAGGGTAAAGGTAAAGTTGTTGAAGAGGTCCCTGCAGGGGCAGAGAAGGGATTTACAGATCTGGAGCTGACTCCTAATCTGTTAAAGATGCTGAAGAGTTCATGCGACTAATCAAGAAGAGTGACTATAAAATTGTAGATCATCTTCATCAGACTCCGTCGAAGATCTCGATTCTTAACTTGTTGCTGTGCTCTGAGGCGCACCGCAATGCATTATTGAAGGTATTGAATGCTGCATACGTGCCGCAGGAGATATCAGTAAATCAACTCGAGGAAGTAGTAGCCCATGTTAATGCTGGTAATGGGCTGGGATTTACAGATCTGGAGCTGACTCCTAAAGGAAGAGATCACAACAACGCCTTGCACGTCTCGATAGAGTGCAGAGGCACGATTATGTCACATGTCCTGGTAGATACGGGTTCCTCGCTTAATGTGCTCCCGAAGAAAGCACTGATGAAGTTGGATACCCGTGGATTGCTGTGCACGCCCAGTGATCTGGTCGTGAAAGCCTTTGACGGAACCAAGCGCCACGTCTTCGGAGAATTGACCCTGCCAATTCAAGTTGGTCCAGAGACGTTCAATGCGGTTTTCTATATCATGGATATCATGCCCGCCTATAGCTGCCTCTTAGGTCGGCCATGGATCCATTCTGCTGGTGCCGTGACGTCCACGCTGCACCAGAAGCTTAAATATGCTGTTGGGGGCAGCATAGTGACAGTCTGTGGAGAGGAGGACATCATGGTAAGCCACCTGTCGTCCTTTAAATACGTTGAAATGGATGGTGAGATCCATGAGACTCTTTGCCAAGCATTTGAAACCGTCAGGGTGAAGGAGGTGGCTCCTGTCGTCGCGGAGAAGCGGGAGATGAATCTATCCTCATTTAAGGAAGCTCGGGCCGTTGTCGAAGCCGGCTCCACCCCAGGCTGGGGGCATATCTGGGACATACCAATCAAACAGGATAAAGGTCAATTATTCACCCAAACAAATAAGAGAGACACCACATATTCATCCAAAACCTTAAAGTAATAAATGTATGAGTCATCTTACTTATAAAATGTTCAATTTCCACTTTTCTAAACAATGTGAGATTTAAAACTCACATTTATTTTTTTACATAACTCACACTTATTTTTCAACAATAACTTATTAGAAAACATAACATTTAAGCTCATCTTCGAAATCATCCCACAAAACCACTGGTAAGAACATGAGTGGGAGAAGAGTCTTCACAAAAGATGACACATAGTAATATGCACATCCAAATCTCATGTCAAAAGGAAATAGAAGTCTTGTTGCCAACCTTTCCAATCACATGATTGATAATCATGGATTAAAAGAAGAACAAAAATGAGATGAATTTTGTTTATTCAGCTGCATTGCACACACTATAAAGTTGAAATATAAGAAAGATGCAAAACTTCTATTGCTAATCATCCCACTAAACAATTGTGTGTCTAAATCAATCCTAAAATATAATCAGATCATCTGAAAATTTTAGAGCATATACACAAATTAAACATCATCCTTTGTATCATCCTGTAATTATTCCAAAAATTACAGAGTCCAGTACTAATAATAAATAAAACTTGCAAATGAAATAAGAACCTACATCCTCTAGATCATCATGTTAATCCCCAAAATTCACAGTAAGATGTTCTACCATGACTAAACATAATCAAAGCTACAAAAACTAAACTATCCTGCAAGTTAGAATTTCCATCCTAATTAACCCTTCCAAATCAAACTGAAACAAAACCTATATCTTATTCATGCAACAATGTGAAAGGTGGACAATGAGACACATTTGTAGTCCTTGGTGCAAGTGTTGGAATAGCAGTTGGAACCCAATTATTATTGTTATTGCAGTTTGATCCTTCATCAACAGATAACTGTTGCTGCTGATAGTACAAATTCCTTGCATGTGCATGGTAAGGATCACTAGCTCCAAAAACATTCTCATAACCAAATCCCTTTATCTGATCACTATCACCAAAACTGTTATTGCTGCTTCTTTGATTTTGGTTAATACCACCATCATTTCCAATAACAGTAGTAGTAGCCATTGGAATCATATATCCGCCGCAGTTTCCTCCATAGCCACCGTGATCTCCACCACCATAAACAAGAGAATTTGAACCAGAACTATTATCCATGGAAGCAGAATCCATACTCATGATATTTTGCAAACCAAAGAAATTATGAGTATTATTATTGTTATTGTTATTATTCCCTAACTGTAGCTGTTGATGATGAATATGATGATCAGTAGTAGTAGTAGTAGTATAAGTATTATGATCATCAGAATCTTGTTCTTGTTTGCACCAAAGCTTCTGAGTTTGAGTCTGTGCACCATAAGGGTAATGCTGTAACTGCATGTTGTTGGTATTGTAAGGGTGTTGTTGTTGGAAAGAAAGAGCATGCCAATTAGCTGCTGCATAGTTATTCATGGTTTGATCGGTTAAATGCGAATTAGTAGCATTATTATTGATGATGCTTTGACGATGATGATCTTGGCCAATATTATCCACCACATTCACACTCAATAATTCAACTTGCTCCATATCTTTCAACCGCTTTGCAGCACCACCGATCGGTAAAGTGCTGCTCTCGAGTATGGTTTTCACATCGTATCGGCTCATGTCGAAATTTGTAACCGCACTTAGTCCTCTGAATTTTATGGCTGCTACATCATATGCCTCCGCTGCCTCTTCTTGAGTGCCTGCAGAAAAGACATTCAATCATGTCTCATCACATAGGTATTTGCATATATACTTTTAGAACTCATAGTAACACTAACAAGAAATATAGATGATGGGACATGTATAGAAAAGATATTATAGGTACAAGAGATAGGTGCATGTGTCTATTATAATCAAAGATTCTATTTCAGATTAATTGAATAACTTATGTATCTGATCATTCGATAAAATATTTGTTTATAAGAGCGACGTGACGTGAGAAGCACGTGCAAGTAAGATATAACTTATTATATAAGTTTAAATAAATGAAACTAGCTTACTGAAAGTTCCTAGGTAGAGATCTTTGTTGCCTGCAACTCTACCAATCCTTGCTTGCCATCTACCATGTTGATGATGTCTGCAATCACAGATGTTGCTGTTACTTCAATCTTTAGTATTAGTAATTTCAAGAGCAATTATTAATGTTACATAAGTGGACATTGATGAGTCATTAATTTAATTTTAAGAAAAATTCATAAACACAAACTTTAATACTAGTCAAATGTACCTAGTTACTCCTCGGTAAATGGATGCACCGCGAGAAAAACCACTACTTTTCCTGTTTCAAAATTTCAATTAATGTATATCAATCAATAAACTAAGGTTCATGAATCAAATTAGTAGTAGGGCATGTATAGTACCTTCTCAATGACGCAACATACTCTTGCCTTGTCATGTGTTTCATTTCTTCCAATTCTTTTTCATAATGGCTTATCTGAAATTCATTCAATATTGAGTTTTGCATTATAAATCAAAAACTTAATTTAAACAACACATTGCATAAAATGAGGAAAAGATACTCACAGGAAAATTTGTTGTTGTAGTTGTTCCCCAGTATTTTAGTGCTGCTAAATCATAGGCTCTAGCTGCTTTTTCTTCTTTGTCATAACCTCCTATAAGTACATAACAAACATCAACAAATTTAACACTAAAAGAATATAAGAATTAACAAAAAAGTTATTTAAGAGAATGATTTTCTACTCACCCAAGTAAACTGTAAAACCATGTAGATTGATGAAGAACATAGAGGACAAGAACATGCAAAGATGAAAAACAGTAGTTAAGTAAGATACTAAAAAGAGTACAATCAGAAAAGTGAATATATAGATCTTAATCTTAATATTATTCTTACCTTGTCTTCCTTTGCGAGTTTGTCCCTCTCTTCTGCAACTGTTATCCCAAAGATGAGCTTCATATCTTCCTGTCCATCTATGCCTTCAATCCATCATAAAAACCTTAACCTCATTATCATGCATCAAAAAAGTAAACTTGAAAAAAAGTTGTGTGAATAGTAATGTTTTTCAAATGTTTTTTTTGGTATAGAAATAGAGTACCTTGTTACACCACGGTAAATGGAAGTTCTTTGTCCGAAGGTATCAATGGATTTTCTAGGGACAGCACTTTCAACGACGGCACTGGTTTGGTTGCTATCAAGTACTACTACAGCAGTTGTTGGTGGCTGTTTGTTTTCCGACGAAGAAATCTCACCGTTTGTTGCGCTTGCGTTGAGAAGAGGCACCGATGAGCTTGACTGTGAACCAGTACTCATGGAGAGTGATAGTGTCTGCACACGTGCTGCTCCATTTTCGTTGTTGTTGCTTTCTGGTGGTGGTTGGTTTCTTAGCCATGTTTTTATCATTGATAAACCTATGGAGTTGTTATTGTTGTTATTTGTGCTATCATCACCACCACTACCGCCACCACAAGATGGTTCCGGTTGAGTAGACGGAAGGTGTAACGAAGAGTATGAGTTGTTGCTGCCACCGTATTCGTTTTGATGATCGGTGAAAGAGTTTCCACCAAGGAAGTTCTCTAGCTTTGGTTGCACCTGTTGATGATTATTGTTCATATTTTGGTTAATGCATGAACTTCCCAATAGTAGAGTTTGGTTGTTGTAGTTCTCCTTCCAATCTGAACAAACAAACAAAAAAATGATTAGTACTACTATCTAAACATATTTAAAACCGCTACCAACAAAGTTTTAAAAAACGGTCTGTTACTGCGAAACCTTGAGTGGTATGAATGTTGTTATTGGTGTGGTAAGCTTCATAAATGGAAAAAGGATGAGAAAGATGGTGAGGAGTTGAAGAGTGAGAAGTGAGATCAAAGCAGTGATCTCCTTGTTGAACACCAGAACCATCATCGTGAGGGTTGAAACCAAAAAGAGAAGGCACCACGGTTTGATCTTGAGTAGAAGATGGGTGTTGTTCTTGTGGTGAGAGAGAGAAACCTAACAAGTTCATAGAGGCCATGTATGTGAGAGTGAAGAAAAAGAGAGAGATATAAAGGTGAGAAGTGAAGGTAGAGTTTGTAGAGAAAATAGCATGAAATGGAGGAGGTATAGGAAGGAAGCACACAGGTTATGTGAAAGAGAGAAGAAAGGAGAGAAGGAGAAAGGTCAAATTGTTGAAGAACTCGAAACTTGGAAAAACATTTATAGTGGAAATGAGGCAACATTTATATAGGAGTAGTGTATTTAACGCATTTACATAGTACATGTACATGTTTTAAATTATGAATATTTTAACAAGAATTTTTGACTCTATTCAATTTTATTCTTATTAATAATTAATAGTAAATATTAATAAATTAATACTTTAATAATAAGTTGTTAAATAATACTAATATTAATAATAAATTTATTAAATTATTATCATTTGATAGTCAAGCAAAATATTCGATTGTAACAGTTATTTATCTTTAAAAAATTAAATTTTGACCATTAGACTTTTAAACTAAGAAAAATAAATAGTTTAATAATAATTTTAGACTAAGAAAAATAAATAATAATTTTTTTTTTAATTTGTGTTAAAGATTTTACAAGTTCATATTAAAATAATTGCATTTTAATTTTAAAGAACACTATATATAAGAAATACAAAAAAATGTTAAGAGTGGTTGAATTATAGACCAACAATTTAGACTTAAATTAAACTAGTTAAATACTTGTCCCATTATTAATATAATACTTTACTTTTAATTAATTTTTTGTAATGTTTTCATATATTTTCTTCTTTAAATTTAATCTTATTCAAAGTTTGTGGAAAACGAAATATAATGAAAGTTTGAAATTCGAAATATAATGAAAGTTTGAAATTCAAAGTTTGAGTTTGAGATAATAATCTGTTGGCTTGATATTGAACCTGGTTAAGTTTATGAATAATTGAATGAATGTATATAGATTTGGATTATTAGTGTAGTATCTTTCTTTGGTGTAAATAATAATTTCTGACAAAATAGCGTGACAAAAAAAACCACACGCAGCCCCTCTCCACACCCATTTATTTATACCCATTTGGACACTAGTCACTTCATGTCAGGGCTTATTATCAGAACTCAGAATTTGGCAATTTTACTTTTTCATAATCTCTTTTCTTACATGAATGAACAAACACCCATAACTTTCTCACATTCCCTCTTTCTCACCATCATATCACACACATTATTCATCTACTTTTTTTTAATATATATATATATATATATATATATATATATATATATATATATATATATATATATATATATATATATATATATATATATATATATATATATTGTGAATTTGATGTCGTCAAGAACAAATTAAAATATGAGAAAAATATTGAGTTTATTGAACAAACACGAGATCCTATTAAATTTTACAAAAGGGAGAGAAAAAAGAAGAAGAATAAGAATTGGTTAAATATGTTTTTCTATTCACTTTCTCAATAAGGGTTCAAAGATTACAAGTGAATACAAACACTTAACATCTCTCAACAACATGAGAGAACTAGTCTATTTATAGACTACTAAGCTAACTTAGGATACAAGTTAACTTAACAAATGGGCTTAGAAGCAAGACCCAATTCGACATACTAACTTAAATTACAAGTTAATATATTTCGACGTTATGCCCGAACAGACTTAGACTACAACATACACAACTCCTGTCGAACCATGACGCTGCCCTTGTCGATACTAGAGTTCGATTCAAATACCACAAATCTCCATCTTGGAATAAACTCTATAACAAGGGAACAAAATAGTTTTCATCATGCAGTTTTATCATCTGCATACAGTGAAAAAACTTGTTACTTGACAATGTCTTAGTGGTCATATCGACAACATTGTCATCATTCGAAATCTTCAGCACTTGGACTTTTCAACACTCAATTATCTCTATGATGAAGTGCAGCCTCACATCGATGTGCTTGTTTCGCTAATGATAAGTTGAATTCTTTGACATGTGTATTGCACGTTGACTATCACATTTAACAATGATAACTCGATCTTAAAGTTTCAACTCCTTAGCACAACCTTCAAGCCACAATACTTCTTTCACAACTTCAGTGAGGGCAATATATTCTGCTGCAGTGGTTGATATGACAACAACCTTCTGAAGTGTCGCTTTTCAACTAATTGTTGTGCCGAACATAGTGAACATAGATCCAAAAATAGATTTTGTGGAATCTATACAACCTGCATAATCAGAGTCGACAAATCCTTCGATTTCAACTTCTCTATCATCACCACAGGCTCCACCATAAATCAGGACTCTGCTGAGAGACCCATTTATGTACCTAAGAATCCACTTTAATGCTTGTCAGTGCGTCTTTCCAGGATTGACCATATACCTGCTTACAAGGCTGATTCCATACGACATGTCTGGCCTTGTACATACCATAACATACATCAAAGTACATACTATACTAGCATATGGAATGCTATTCATATAGGCTCTTTCGACTTCAGTACTAGGACTTTGAGTCGAACTTAGCTTGTATTGAGGATTATTCGGTGTTAGAACATGCTTTGAATTCGACATACCAAACTTGTCGAGAATCTTCTTCAGATATGTCTCTTGAGATAATCATAATCTCGACTGTATTATATCTCTCGGGATGTCAATCCCAAGAATTCTAGAGGTAGCTCCTAAATCCTTCATGTCAAACTCCTTATCAAGTTCAGCCTTCACCTTCATAACATCTTCGACACTGTTGCTTGCTATGAGGGTGTCATCCATATAAAGTAACACAATAACAAATGAATTTCTAGGTCGAAATCTGAAGTACACATAATGCTCGAACTGACTACTAGTGAAACCAATGTGTGCCATGAACTTGTCGAAACTCCTTTTCCATTGTCGAGGAGATTATTTCAGGACATACAAAGACCTATTCAGCTTGCAAACATAATCTTCATTTCCCTTTTCTGCATACCCTTCAGGTTGCCTCATCAGGATTGTTTCACCATACAAGAAAGTTGTCTTCACTTCCATCTGTTCAAGTTCTAGGTCAAACTTTTCCACCATGACTAACAACATTCTAATGGATCTATGCTTTACAACAGGTGAAAACACATCATTGAAGTTGATAACTTCTTTCTGAGTGAACCCCCTAGCAACCAACCTTGCCTTAAAATGCTTCGACATCACTTTTTCGATTCCTTCCTTAACCTTGAAGATCCACTTACAATTGACTAACCTGGCCCCTGCAAGTTTCTCGATTAGCTCCCAAGTGTTATTATCATGAAGAGATTTCATCTTATCATCCATGGCTTTCAGCCATTTAGTCTTGTCTAGACTCCTCATAACTTCCTTATAGTCTCTAGGTTCTTCATATAGAATCTCACTTGTAGAGATTATGACATAAGCTATAAGATTTGCATAACCAAGTCTCTAAGGTGGCTTGATGACTCTTTTTGACATGTCTCTTACCAACAAGTAGTCATTACCAGTCTCCTTATCTTCATCAGCAACTTAAGATTCTCCTTTGACTTCATTTGGGGTATGCAATTCAGCATCATTATGCTCCACCTCAACAGGAATTTCTCCCTGTTCTAGCTCTTCTTCAGAGATCTTCGAACTTCGACCAATGTCATCAGTTTTCTTGAAAGTCATCTCAGATTCATTGAAAACTACATCTCGACTTGTGATACACCTCCTGTGACCTAGCTCTAGGCACCACAGTCTATAAGCTTTGACTCCTTCTAGGTATCCAAGGAACATATATCTTAGAGTTATAGGTTCAATCTTGTCTTTCCTAATATGAGCATAGGCTAAACAACCAAATACTCTAAGTCTGTCGTGACTAAGTGGATGTCCCGACCTGACTTTTTTAGGTGCCTTCATTCCCAAGGATGTTGATGGACACCTATTTATCAAGTATGTTACAGTCACAATAGCTTATGCCCAAAACACCTTATTCAATTCCGCACTTACCAACATGCACCTTACTTTCTGTAGAATGGTCTGATTAAACCTTTTAGCCAAACCATTTTGGTGGAGATTCCCTGTAGTAGTTTTGTTTCTTGAAATACCATACGCAACACAATAGATGTTGAAATCTTAATTGCAAAATTCAATACCATTTTTGGTTCTCAATCTCTTGACCTTCTTGCCAGTTTAGTTTTCGACCAGAGTCTTCCAACTTTTGAAATTTTCAAAAGTTTCATCCTTAGTCTTCTGGATGAATACATATAAATTTATGGAGTAATCATCAACTATGAATAGAAACTACTTTGCACCTGACTGTGAAGAATTCCTTGCAGGTCCCCAAAGATTAGCATGAATGTAATATAGGGATCCATGTGTTCTTTGTTTACCTTTGTTAAAATGCATTCTATAGGATTTACCAAATACACAAGGTTCACAAAACTCCATTTTTTTTACCTTATCACCACCCAATAGATTTTGTTTCGACAATTCGACCAGACCTCTTTCACTGACATGACCAAGTCTCTTGTACCATAGCTCAGTCTTTGACACAGGTTTCATAGATGCCACATCTACTGAACTGCTTACAACCTCAACCTCAAGGGTGTATAAGCCTTGTTTCTTCATGTCTCTCAAGACTTCTTTTGATCTCTTCATTACCCTTAGGATGCTTTGCTCTCCTTTAAAAACATATCCTTTCTTGTCGAATTCACCCAGAGAAATCAAATTCCTCTTATGATCAGGTACATACCTAACATCAATCAATAACATTATTGACTCATCATGGAGCTTGAATCTCACAGATCCAATACCTGCAATTTTGCAACCTTTATTGTTTCCCAACAGCACTGATCCACCATCTTGATCACACAACTCTTCAAACACGTATTTGTTTGGAGTCATGTGCCAAGTACACCTTGAATCCATAATCCAATTCTTGCTAGAGTCATTGCTTGAAACCACCAGGATCTCAGATGATTCATAACCATCTTGCACAATGGTTGCATTACCATTATCCTTTCCATCATAATTGTTCAGTCGATCAGGGCATACTTTTCT